CCCCCCCCTCCCTCCTTGAACAATATTGAGAGTAAAACTAAGCCAGGATTTCCTGAACACCATTATACAATTCTCTTTATCTCTCCAGGAAATCACTTCCTTGGGTTTTCAGTCTCCTGTCTAGGACTGGGCACTAGTGGTACACTATTTATTCTTATTATTGGACAAAACCTGAAAACAATTGTCCGTGTAAATTTGCCGCGTAAAGATGTGCAATAAGTTAATTCATTTTGTAGGCCTTCTTTGTTATTTTTTAAAGGTTCCACATAAATCTGAGAACGCCGGGCCCTTCAGCTAGCACTGTGATGTAATAACACTGAACAACTTACTCTTCACTATGGCTGGTAGTCAGAGATATGCTTCAAATGAGCAGGAGTTTACAATGCAATGGGGTTTTCTGTTCATAAAGTAATTTGTCCACTTTGGATTATAAATAAAAAAATATTAGTTGTTCTCATATCTTTATGGTTTATTCTGCACTATACTTTTAGAGAGAGCTTCGCATCCCAATTCCTACGAACAATTTTATCTTTTAACTGTTGCTCTGACTCCACTGTAGCCATTTTTAAACATTCTCAAATTGTTGCAGATTTTTGTATTTAAGTTGGTGCATATTCAAAAAGGATAAATATCTACATTTTGCCCAGGCTAAATTCAACTTAAAATTGTATCTACAAAATTCCGGCTGGTTAATGGAACCTTGGCCAGCCCTACTCCTGATGTAAGTACAGTAAGCTCTTTAAGCCCTGGCTTTAGTCTAATTATATCAAGTCCTCTAGTCTACACCCTGGAATAGGGTCCTTCAAGGTTTGGACAATTCAGTTCAGAATTGGTGAAGGAGGTAGGATGAAGGGGGTAGGGTGAAGGAGAAAAAAATGGGAGTGTGATTTTTATTATTCCAATATGTTTCTTTTTGAAATCAAAACAATATTAGAAAACAACTTTACTGCAGGTTAAAATTGCCTGGCAAAAATCTTTTTTTTTGTGAAGTTCTAAATTGTGTTAAAACTTTCAATGGGATAAAATTTTGGATTTCATGACAAAAAATTATTTTGAGAAGAAAATTGATCACTAATAAGATAAGTAATACGACAAGTGTATAGACTCCCCAACCCCACCCCGGGGTATAAACTCCCCAACCCCACCCCGGGGTATAGACTCCCCCGGGGTCTAGACTCCCCAACCCCTTGGAGAGTCTAGACACTTTTGTAAAAAGGAAGGAAAGTCTGGTGACCCCTCTGTCAATTCCAGCGTTATCTGGTAACCCCTGTATCTATTTAGATGTGAGGTGTCTGGTAATCCTCCTCCGAGCATATCCTGGTTCCTTGATCAGCACAGGATTAGTTTCGGATCCGGTAGATCCCTTATTCTTCATCAGAATACTGGGTTTGTAGAACGGTGAGTATTCAATTTGTGATTAATTTTATCAACAAATATTCATACCACACAAATCCAGTCGGTCTATATATTTTGTCCAACCTGGTCCATTTTTTATATAATTGTAACCAGTACAGAGACATTGAAAGAATTTATAAAATGTAGTCTTACAAACCTACTGATAAATTTTATTTTATAAATTTGATAAAAGTCTCCGGGGTTCTGGGTTAAACTATACTAAGTATGCATGCATTCATAAATCGTGTTTGTCAATATCTTTAATCAGAGTAGAAATGTTGATTTGTGTAATAAAATCATATTTTTACGGGCCTCAAAAAGATGCCCATACATACATCCTGGCGGGTGTAGGCTAGCAGTACTCACTACAGAGTGTGTACTGTAGTAGACCCAGCACGTTTTATGTTACAAAATGGGTGTTGGCTGAATCATGGAAATATGAAAAGCTTGGAAGTTTTGGAGCCCTGAAAGCACCAGCAACTTAAGATTATTTAAAACAAATGTATATTTTTCAGTGTTTTGATTGGTCAGTATTTGTCAGCAGAGGGGACAGTGATCAGTCATCTAAATATCTCAACAGTTTTATCAACAGATGGAGGTCTTTACAGGTATTTAACTCTGTTAATCATCATCATAAAAATGGGGTTATTTTTATTTTTATCTGGATAATGTCGTTTTGCAACAAAAATAAGGTTATTTTTCTCATAAATCTCGCTGATTGGCAAGCATAGAAATTTTAATTTAATTATCAACATTTTTAATATAATACTTGAAGGAAAAAATGGCGGGATTACATTTGATTGAGTAAATTCAACTCTATTTATTTTCTACTTTGTGCAGCAAAATCCAATTTCAGATGTGTTGCTAAGAACTCTGTTGGAAGTGTCGAACATTCTGCCAGACTCAACATTTACGGTAGGAAGTTTCAAGATCAAATCAATCAAATAAAATTCTGTCTCAAATCGGTATTAAATCACTTCCAATTGACACTTCTAGAGAACAGTAGAAGGTTTTTAACGACAATAGCAAGTCTAAATTGGATTCGTCCTTAATAAATATTTGCAAACGTACACACTCTTTAAAGTCTTAAAAACTTGGAGAGGAATTGGATCTAAAGCATTTCTTTGCAGACTAGATTAGCATACCCTTCTTTTGTTGTAACTAAGTAATCTACATATTCTGGTGCATATTATACCC